CAGCATGGTATGCTCAGAGATTAGTGGAACTAATCCAAAACAACCAGAGAATACAACATTGTCTAGCCTTTTGTTAGAGAATATGTTCCTAGGGATATAATCAAAGTTTTCCTTCAACTTAAATGAGGCACTTTCCAATTAATCATATTAACTTCTTGTGTTTTTTAGATACAAGTCAGGTAGCTCTGACACAACTTTAACAAACACCAGTGTTTCCATGTGAGTTCCAGGAAGGTAGGTTAACAAAAGGAGTGATGGTGCTATGTGTGTCCATGGGCTGGACCAATTCACATGTGTAGGTTGAAGTACTTGAATTGAATTTTATCTTGCAAAACTTCCTATGATTCACTGAAGCTACAGGTTTTTCTCATTCTACAAAGGGATCTTCCCTTGTATTTGTTGTAAGCACATTTCTACTCTGGTCAAGCTGATTATGGGCAGTCATCTGTGCAATACTTAAATGGGATTTTTGATATTTAAAATGTGTAGGGTATCATTATGATTGCCTAGCAGATTGTTTTTAACAACCACAGTTAGGAAATATGTTTGAGCAATCTCAGAAATTGTAAACAGTCCGTAGCCATGATTACCTGATCCATGCATTACATTTGTTAGGCAAACTTCTACCCAGTGATGGCTAGTTTGCATAAACAAAATTTTTTGAGGTGGAGTCTGAAGAATCATGTTGCCTTACAATGACAAATTATCCTTTCTTTAAACAGGTAATAAATGTTCTGATGAATCAATATACAGTATATGATCTATGGAAGTATAAAAGTGTATAAATTACTCTTAGAAATGGCACAAGGAAATTTTCATGGATGGTTAAGTTGTGTAAGTAATTTTAATGTATTATAAGGATCAAGTTTAAAGAGTCCACAAACCCATAATTAATTGAATATATTGGGTGATTAGGCAATAATCTAATAAATTATAGCTTGGAAACATAATAGCTCACTTCACACAATAAACTAAAGAATTATGTGGTTTGTCTGGTTTTGCCTTAGGTAATTCTGTCTGTATCTTCTTCAACTGTGCTTGAATGTAGTTTGTATAATAGGAAATTAACTACCTTAGATTAGTTTTGAATTGTGTAGTCTACAATATAAGTATTGACATAGCCATGAATTCTCTAACCTCAATCTTGCCCACTTACTCTATGGATAAAATAATGCTAATTTACTTTATATAGGACTGATTTACAAATTTGAAGCATCTTGAGTAAGTGCCATATTATAATTGCCAATTTATTCTTTAATTATTCATTTTTAGTGGACATATTATTGAATATCAATTGCACCTAGTAATAGCTTTCTTTCTTTCAAAATAAATCTCGTAATAATAATCTGTCTGCATACTGATATTAGTACTACATCAATTTATAAAAAAACATCCTACATTTTTAGATATCTTTTATCTATGGTGCAGTTGGAAATACTGAGCACAAAAAAGGAATATTGCTTCCTTCTATGAGACCAAACTAGACTACTGTAATGCAGCTGTACTTAATGACACAGAGTTACTGAACTACCTTCACGTCGACTGAAACATTTCAAAATACATAGACAATTTTTATTCGGTTGGTTCTTGAACTAACTACATATGACATAGTGGTTAAATATAAATATTATTAAATATACTGGTCAAGTGGTTAAGGCACCAGGCTAGAAAGCAGGAATACATGAGTTCAAGGCCAGCCTTAGCCATGAAAGCCAGCTGGGTGACTTTGGGCCAATCACTCTCTCAGCCTCACAGGGTTGTTCTGGGGAAGAAGAAGATGGTATCAATCCATGGCCTGTTAGGAACCGGGAGCACAGCTGTAGGTGAACCACGGGTGAGTGAATGAAGCTTTGTCTATACTTTCAGCCATTCCCTGTAGGAGATGACAAGGCTGAGCCCAAGGGAGGGGTCAAACACATCATAAGTCACGAGTTCCTACACAGCCTCAAGACAGCTAAATTCAACCCACCTTTAATGCCTTTCTTATCTCCCACTCATTTCCCTTGACAGTTAGTTGGTCAGGTTCTTATAGAAAGGTTAAGTTTGCAATAAATCTTTATACTCATTTGAACTGTCTTAATCTCCTGATTTCCCTGGCATTTGACACTCCCCAACGCTAGCATCACTGCTTCAGGTCCACCACAGATCAGGCATTAGATTCTCATAGGAGCGTGAAGCCTACTGTAAACTACACCTGCAAGGGAACTAGGTTGCATGCTCCTCCCCCCATCCCCACCAGTCTGTGGAAAAATTATCTTCCCCAAAACCAGTCCCTGGTGCCAAAAAGGTTGGGGACCACTGCTCTGCAACAGAAACTCATACATTATATGCTGTAGTCCAAAAGAAAGCAATTTGAAGCTTGGACTACACTTCCATAATTTCTGACCATTGGTTGTGATAAGATTTAAGGGAGTTGTGCCCAAACATCTGGAGGACACATGTTTTATAACTGTAAAATAGCCCTAAATTTTTAAAATTAAAAATAGCAACCACAGAGTTAATAATATGAATCTTCATATTTGGAAAGCATTAGACAGGGGAAGCTGAGGTAAAAGTCTAAACTGGGAATAGACAACCTAGGGTCCTCCAGAAACTGGAACTGCTTTTCAAGTTTCTGTGGAGTATCAGTGGCCTCTTGTAATTTACAGATGGAGATTAACTTTATAACAGAAAGTGATGCTTAATCTGAGCCCTTCTGTTTCCTCTTTAATAATACTCTAACCACTATAGTACATTGATCCTTTGACAATACCATATCATTGATGTAATGGAATGTTATATGTAATAGGACATGTCCAGCCAGTACAAATAATTCTTAGAACTCTTCAAACTTAAAATTTGCTATACTACTGTGTAAGTTATCTTTTATTTAATGATTTTTGCCACAAAAATTAACAGAAATACCTTAAGACCTATAAGATTGATTTTTGGGGAAAGACACCCATTCCTGGAGAAGATTCCTAACAATCTATTGGGCCCAATAATTAAAAAGGTTTCAAATTATTGATTTGGAGTGTCATGAAGAGAGAGAAAACTGATAATTATTTAATTTTTAATTCCATTTTTACTGCTAGGCTGAAATAGTCAGGGAGATTTGTGAGATTTTATGCCTCAGATTCCAAAATAGTTCACCTTGGATTGTATGAAACTTGTATGACTCAGAAAGTGTCATTTCCTATTTCATTTCAGGTAACAAAATGTCTTAGGTCAGCCCAGTGACAGAATATCCTGCACTTGTCGTTTTTCTCCATGACATAAAGGGTTAGAAGAGAGGTAAAGCATATGTTTGCAGAGCTATGTTTTAAAACCTGAGTCAGAATAAATACAGCTGTCATATGACCACAAAACTGTAGTTTGATTTAGTCAGGTTATTCCTGCTGCATTTCTTTAGGTTTAAGGAAAATGAGACACAATAGGCAAAGCAACAGTTAGGCATACAGACAGAGAACTATAATCAGTGTAGGATGGCATGGAGGAGGAAATAGAGACTGCCAATAGGCGTGAAACTGCATCTAAACTACTGGGACTTCGGAAACAGTATAGTTTAGATGTTACATTAAACCAATGTTTCCTAACCTTATAACTTTAAGATGTGTGGATATCAACTTCTAGAATTCCCAAGTGAGCCTGCTGGCTGGGAAAGTCTAGGAATTGAAATTCACCTAATTTAAAGTTGTCAAGCTTGAGAAACACTGTGCTAAACAAAAAATGTGATATCATTTGGGCTTATACTGCTTAGAGAGGGCTGTAAAAGCACTGTGAACTGGTATATAAGTCTAAGTGTTATTGCTATAGCTTAATCATCGTGGTGTATAAAATGAAAATTATGCCTCAATATTGGTTAAATCCAACTGTGTTTATTCAAACAAATCATAATTAAAATTAACAATTGCTTAGTACAATGAATCATTGTAAAACAGCTCAACACTTCCGTCCATCAAAATTTCTGGCTCTACTAGGGATGTGCTTAGTCAACTCAAATCTCCTTTTGTAAATAATGTTTCTTTGCCTTTTAAAACATTTTACAAACATACTTCTATACATACACTTTGTATCTTCACATTTTATTTGAAAACTAATTAGTTATATTCCTTATCTTATCCCAATTATTTAAAAACTGCAGTGCAACAGTCCTTGTTCGGTAATCTAAAACACTTTGTCTTTACATGGTATGGGGATAAAAATTCCAAATCCAAGGAATTGGCCTGTATAGTATCCAGATAATAGATCTTATTAATTCATTTTTTTTAAAAAAGGTGTCAATAGCAAGAGAAGTTTATTTTCTCTCTGCTAATTGTGTCACTACACAGCTGATAAATGTATAATCTGCTTAAGAATTATCAATATATGTACCATTTTGATGCTCAAAGGTATCCTATATGGCATTTTGTATCCCATGGGACTTACAAAGGTAAGTTTACACACAATTTATTTCTATGCCAACCTTTTCCACAATTTAAAATAGTATTGGACAGTCCAGTGCCAGCCCACAGGTTAATTAGAATATAATAATTATTTTGGCCCAGAATGCTGGGGTGTGTTTTAACTGCAATTAAATTTGTAATGGTTGTCAAAGGATTTATTATGCCATTGTGTTGTTTGTTCAAACTTCTTCTGTGTTCCAATATTGAAACTTGCTCCTTGGGTCTTTGGGGGTTTTTTTGCATGTTGTCACAAGAACTGGCCACTACAAAGCAGAAATTGCAATATATTGTGCCCCTTATAACAAATGAATTATCTAAAAATAGTATCATACAAATTTAATTTAATGTACTGGGTTTTCCTTAGATTATTTCTTAATAAGTTTATTTAAAAATGCTTGCCTTGTATTTTAAAATTCGGGATTGCCCTTTGTTAAATCCTAAAATGCCAGTGTGGGGTTTCTCCTTCCCCCTTGCCAAAAACATACCAGTGTTCAAATATCCATGGGAAAAGTTAAGAAAAACACGATGGGAATTCTTTGGCCGTAATTCTACCACGTGTATTTCGAAAAAGGCACCGATAGGGCGGGGGCGGAGAGAGAGAAAAGCGGAACGTCTTTGCCTTTGGAAAGAGCGGAGCGGCACTGCAGTTTTGTTCCAATAGAGGTAACGGCTATTAAATGTGGCTCGGATGTCTTGAGGAAGACGGAGGTGGGAAAAGGGGTCTTCCCCGGATCTGAATCGAAGAAACAGAAGCCGAGAGAGCATCTAATGGGCCACAGCCAGCCGTGACCCCATCGCGCCAGACAAGGCTTGAATGACTGCAATGCTCCCCACCGCTTCTCTCTGCAGGAGCTGCCGCTCGCTGGCTGGGGTGAGCAAGCTTGCTTCTCCTCGCCTCCTGTCCTTCCTGTAATGAATGATGCAGGAGAAAAAAGAGGCGGCGGTGGAAGGAGAGGAAGAGGAGGAGGAAGAAGAGGGGGAGGCGGCTGCCACCGCCGCGGCTGCTCCTCTGAAGCACAAATCCTCTGCAACTCTCCCAGTAGGAGGAAAAGCAGCTTTGCCGCTATGAGCTTACATCACAATCCCAGCTCTGGCTGCTGCCGTTTTTCTGGGCAGCAAGCAGGCGGGCAGCAGCTCAGCGAGGCCGGCGGGGACGGCCAGCGGCGACATCATCATCAGCGGCAGCAGCAGCCCGAGAAGAAGCGGAGGATGATGCCCGCGGGCGGAGGCGGCGAAGGCCAGGCGCCCCCTAGGGTTGCCCCGCCGCAGCCGTCCCCTCATCCCGGCCGGCCTCTGCTCTCCGCTTCCCTGCCCTCAGCCCGGCCCTCCGTTGGGACGCTGCGTTGGGACGAGGTGCCCGACGACTTCGTGGAATGCTTCATCCTGTCGGGCTACCGGCGGCTGCACTGCTCGGCGCAGGAATGCCTGGCCTCGGTGCTGCAGCCCACCAACGAGACGCTCAACTTCTGGACCCACTTCATCCCTCTGCTGCTTTTCGTCGGTAAATTCTGCCGTCTGCTGGTGTTGCGCGAGGCCGGCGACCTGCCTTTCCATCACCCGGCGCTGCTGCCGCTGTGGTGCTACGCCTCGGGCGTCCTGCTCACCTTTGCCATGAGCTGCACGGCCCATGTGTTCAGCTGCCTCTCGCTACGCCTGCGTGCCGCCTTCTTCTACCTGGACTACGCCTCCATCAGCTACTACGGCTTCGCCAGCACGGTGGCCTATCACTACTACCTGCTGCCCAAGCTGAGCTTGCTGCAGCCGCGCATGCTCAGTCGCTACCTGCAGCAGCGCCTGGGCTGGCACGTGGACTGCAGCGCGCCCATCGCCGCCTACAGCGCGCTGGTGCTGCCGGTCGCCTTCGCGCTGGCCGTGGCCTGCACCGTGGCCTGCTGCAAGAGCCGCTCCGAGTGGTGCGCCTACCCCTTCGCCATCCGCACCTTCGTCTTCGTCATGCCGCTCAGCATGGCCTGCCCCATCATGCTGGAAAGCCTCCTCTTCGACCTGCAGGACCACAACCCCACCCTCTTCCTGCATTTCTACCGCCGCTATTTCTGGCTGCTGGTGGCTGCTTTCTTCAACATCAGTAAGATCCCCGAGCGGATCCACCCGGGCCTTTTCGACATCATCGGCCACAGCCACCAGCTTTTCCACATCTTCACCTTCCTTAGCATCTACGACCAGATGTTCTACGTAGAGGAGGGCTTGCGGCACTTTCTTCAAAGCCCTCCGCCCACCTCGCCTACGTTTGCGGGCACCATCGGCTACATGCTGGGCTTGATACTGTGCCTTGCCCTGGTCATCCGGAGATTTTTAAATGACCAAGAGGTCTGCAAACAGGAATGAGGTAACTTTCCTTCAGGGTGGTTTTTTGTTGTTGTTGTTGTTGTTTTTGTTGTTTGTTGTTGTTGTTGAAGTTTTTACTTAAATTTATCTGTGGCTGCTGCTTTTGCTACAAGAATCCGCGAGGTCGGCTCTTCCTAGGGAAAGAAAGGCCAAGCGCTACAGCCGCTACGATCGAACTCTTGAAAAACGGCTGTTTCTCTCGACACAAAAACAGGTTGTTGTTGTTTGTTTTTTTTTAAAAAAGAACACTTAGGCCACCGTTCTATAGGCAACCTTCTATTTATTGCTGCTTAGCATACAAAGAGAAGCCATTCTAGAATTACTGCTTGAAATCTACGATTTGATCCTTATTACATTGTTTGTAAATAATCCTTCTTCTCTGAATTCCATTTAATGGACTCAATATCCTGTTGTTGTTTTTTCAGGGGAAATAATATGCATAGACAATGTGAATACTTGCTGCTGGTTTCAGTCTGACTACTTGATGGTGTTGTTAGTTAGCAATATACAATAGATCTGCACTGACAAACAGTTGATATTTAAGATCTGATTTGCATGCAAATCTTGGAATTTTATGCACTCAGTAATGTGGGTATATGTGCTTTTTGAAGTCATATAACACTGGAATTGTGTTTTTAACAAATTGAGATCTGTTTTTGCATTAACAATCTTGTCTCAAAGACAAACATGGGCATACACATTTCTTATAGAGATTTATTTAAATGGCTGTGAATTAATGTAAAGACAGGTTTGATCACAAGTTTCTGGCCGTACAGTGAGAAGAAAGTTTACTTGTGATATATCTTCTCTGATTCTTGCATAAGGCTGCTTTTGTAAGATGCTTTGATTGCTATATATCCGGCTGGTTTGTTGCTGACCATTTAAACAGAACAAAGAACTACAATGTCATCTTTAGAACAAATATAGTGACAGGATTTAGCCATAATTCGGTTGCATGGTTTTGGCTTAGGTGACCATAATCTATGACTCCATTCAACAAACCATGGTTAATCAGCCCTAGTATGATGTATAAATCTAATAATTAGTTTGTACATTAGAACCAGGGTAGGAATATTCTGTTATCTTAAATATATATGCACAGCAAGTTTAAGAAGCTTTCCTAATTTGTTTATATGGTCAGTTATACTGGAATTGTTTCTTCTAAACAAAGGAGTGAATTAAATTTGATCTGAAAGAGTATTTACAACAATCAATAGTGACAGTTGGCCTCATCTCTGTTATGCTGGTTTATGACAGCAGCAAATTCGATGCAAATTGTAGACAAAATTTGAGGTTTCTGGAGAATATTATAAGTAATAGATGAACCCAGGATAGCTTCCATGTCTTTTAAGAAAAGGAATGTATTTTCTTATTGGTGGCAATTATTATCTCAGGATTACATCTAAAATATAAAAATTTATAGATTTTGATGTGTAATTCATTAGTAAAAGTTATGACAAAACTTGGTTGCATACAGAAAAAAAAATCAAAATGGTAGTATTTGAAGAACAGCCATTAAAAAAAACTCATTAGACTTATTATGGCTTGTGTTTTCAAATTCTAAAACATTTCTTCATCATATGTGCAAAGTCCTGATTTGATTGATTGAGATATATATAATAGGTATAAAACATGTCACTCTAATTTGCAGTTTCTAGTTTGTATGTGGTCCTCCAAAGTCGTAACTTGGAAATCAATCATTCTCCCTGTAAATTTATACCAGCAGGTTTTTTTTAGATTTTTATCCCGCCTTTATTAATTTTATAAATAACTCAAAGCAACAAATGTACCTAATACTCCTCCTTCCGCTGTTTACCCCCACAACAACTACCCTGTTATGTAGGTTGGGCTGAGAGTGAATGGTTTAAAGTCACATAGCCAATTTTTCATGCCTATGGTAGGCCTGATGCTCTTGGATTCCAGACTAGCATCTTAAACACTACACCAACCTTATTTTTTAATCTTCAATTAATATTATTTTTTGGTTTGGTCCCATTTACTTTTGAACTACACGCTCTCCATGATATTCAGAAAATTCCTCAGCACCTATAACCATTGTAGAAATATAGTGATAACACTGACTAATTAACCACTTGCCATTCTTTCAGGACACCAAGGATCTGCTTTTTGAGGCAGCTGCTTCACTCTGCCTAATAGGAGGGTTTGGATATAATAACTCAGATTGCATTTAAATTTGTGTAGATCCTGGGGATGATTGCTTTTTGTTGCTGACCTTTTTGTTTTCAAGATTTTAGGTATCAAACATTCCTTCTTTATCCTGCAAAGGTTGTTCTAATCTATTAATTGCAACATTTAATTCATTCATTATAAAATGGTCGTCCTTTAAAGTTTAAATTACAGAATGTATTGCTATAGTAACCTGGCCTAATTTTTGAACTTTGTATTTCCCCCCATCCTCTGTGTGCTTCTTTGATCAGATGAGGTATCTGGGGAATATGCAGGCTGCCCATTGTTCTTAATATTGTGGCAATGTGTTATTTGTTGTCCAGTTTATTGGCTACTTGATATTGGGACATTGTCTACAATGCAACACAGGCTGATAATCCAGGGCTTTTGGGGGAAGAAATGGTCCCTTGTCTAAAATGGGCATTTCCCTTTTTGCAGAAGATGAACATAGCCCCCCCCCCCTTTTTTTACAAACAGGAACTTTTTGCCATATAGAGATAGTCCTCGACTTACAACCACAAATGAACCCAAAATTTATGTTAAGTGAGTTCTGCCCCATTTTACATCCTTTCTTGCCACAATTGTTAAGTGAATCACTGCAGTTGATAAATTAGTAACCCAGTTGATAAATGAATCCAACTTCCCCATTGACTTTGCTTGTCAAAAGATTGCAAAGGTCAACCAGTTGCCAAACATCTGCATTTTGATCACATGATCATGGGGAGGCTACAAATTTGTAACTCTGAAAAATGGTCATAAATCAGTTTTTTCAGTGCCGTTGTAACTTTGAACAATCACTGAATGAACTGTTGTAAGTCGAGGACAGCTTGTAACTAAAACAACTCAGTGTTGTACAATTGTGTACAAATTTTGTACAGCTGATATTTTAAAAATTGCAGCATTAAAACCTGAAAACTGTATAGTATATTTTGCGTACCATTTAGACCTTTGGGCCCAACAATTATTTTTGTTTTGCAATTATGCATATAGTTGTGTTAAAACTTATTCATACCTATGATGAAATGGTGCCTATTTAAGGTAGCCCTTGACTTATGACAATAATTGACCCCAAAACTTCTGTTGTTAAGTGAGACAATTATTAAGTGAGTTTTGTCCCATTTTATGACCTTTCTTGCCTCAGTTGTTAAGTGAGTCACTGCAGCTGATAAGTTACCCGGTTGTTAAGTGAATCTGGCTTCCCCATTGACTTTGCTTGTAAGAAGGTTGCAAAAGGTGATCACGTGACCTTGGAGACACAGCAACGGTCATAAATATGAACCAGTTGCCAAGCATCTGAATTTTGATCACATGATCATGGGGATGCTGCAAAGGTCGTAACTGAAAAATGGTCACAAGTCCCTTTTTTCATGCTGTTGTAACTTTGAATGGTCACTAAACAAACTGTTGTAAGTCGAGGACTATCTGTAGTTATACTGTAATAGAATTGTCATGTTTTATGACTTAGGTTAATAAAATACTTCTCAAGTAAATACAAGTATAGCAACAGTCTTGAAAATAGACATTTTGGCATTAATGCAGTTAAAGAAAAACGATACTTTATTCCTTTATTTCTTTCATATCATTTCTCAGTTTATCTGTTTTTTCCTAATTCTTTGTATTGCAGTTCATGATCCTCAAGAGCAGGGATGTCAAACTCACATCGTCACGGTAGCATCATGTGACATATTGGGACTTTTTTCTCATCCACTAAAACGGGTGTGGGCATGGTCAGTGCATAACGTACCCAGCCTACAGGTCGGGAGTTTGACAACCCTGCTCAGGAGTCTTGATGTTTGTATGTGTGTCTGTGTGCGTATGTGTATGTGTGTTTGTGTGTGTTTTAAGATTCTGGTTTACAATTTCATACTGGTTTTGTGGATATAGATTGCCAGTTTCCAAATGAAGAAGGCTAGAGCACTATAGTCTATTGTATTTTGTAATAAACAGCTGATTTTATTTTTGACCAGACATTATGTCAGTATTCAAAACAGATTTTAAGGCTCTAAAATCATTTCTTTTTTATATAGGATCTATAATTCCAATACTGCATTAGAACAATGCATTTCACTATAAAGGCATAATAAATGTGCATTTTGATGTTCTAGTGGCGAAATACTGATTATTCTTCAGTAACAGATTCTCATCCATTGAATTGAGAAATTACAGTATATCTTCACAGACCAATTGCATACAAAGAGCTATACCAGCCTAGAGAGATTATCCTATATACAAATGTATTTTGCAGATCTATTTTATCCATAAGTGTTTTATATCAGTCAAGCCAACAACCGTAAATAATAATCACAGTAAAAATAATAAGTAGAATATAAAGTAGGTAGCACTTTCCCTTAAGAATAATTCCCTTAAGATAGAAAACTGGTAAGATAAGGCAAATATAGCTAACTCCAAATAAAAAGGCAAAACTATGGTTTAAGTTATAATGATTTATACCAACCATGATTAAACATTACACATATATCAAACAACTTTATGCCGTTTTTTTGCAGTTCTCCTGAACATGCAGAGAAGTTAGCGCTTATTTGAGCAATTCATATAGTGTGTGAGTTGTATCTATGTTTAGTTTGTCTTGAGACTAATTTTGCCCAGTGTCCAAATTGCAATGTGTGCCTGTAAGTTTTTGCAATGTTTTTCTTGATTTCTAAAAGATTTTTTAAATGTGGTGATCTTGTATATCTGAGGCATACTTCATCTAAATATTATTCGGAGTATAATACAGCCCAAATAATAATAATTGTAATCATGTGCCAGAAATGACTGAGCTGGTCTTGAAATTATTTGTATTAATTTATTTGA